CGAAAACGCCCCCTCAAACGCCTGATCACCGCCCAGATTCGGAATCTACGCAAAAAACTGGTCTAGAAAAACTTGGTCTCATAAATTCACAGCTCAGGTGGCGATTCCCCCCCCCCCCTTCAGCCACCAGACTATAAGCGACCGCCGTGTTTCTTCTACAAATTGAAAACAAGTATGGCGGCCGTTTAGGGCGTTACCTTTTTTTTTATTTAATCATTTCTGTAGTTTTGTTATAGGAGTTCAGCTTTAAGTACTCATCAGCTTGCCATTGAGAGGGGTAGATATCTTAAGATACCACCCCAGGATCGCCTCTGTAAAAAAAATGCAATGCAAACAAAACTGAATCTGGACAACATTTTCTCATGGAATGCCAACAATATGAAGACAATAGATATATCCAATCCTTGACAATACTGGTCTAACCTTTTCATTTGAAAATCTATTCAACCCGTCAAGTGTTATAGCCACAAGTGTCGCAGTCTTTGTCTACTTCTCTTTTTTGCGGAGAGACAACTGAAATCTTAAAGCATGATATTTTATTATATTTTATTTGCGCACGTTTCGTTTTGTATTTTCATATACTATGTACCCTGTTTATACTATCTGATTAGGTGATTCTATACTTTGTACGTTTTGTTTCGTATTTTCATTATGTACCATGTATGCAGGTTTTATACTGTCTGTTTATGAGTGCCCTGAATTTGTGCCCGTCCATATTTTTGTACCCGTCCAAATTTTTTGTATCTTTGTAAATTGTATGCTGTCCACAAAGGACGTTTCGATCCAGTAAAATGCTATTCTATTCTATTATCTACATGTACCGTTGGCAATACAGATGGATGAACTTGATAAACATTCAGAATTCGCTTATTCTTTTAAAAATTGTATTTTTTTATTTTGTGTGGGGAGACTTCGCGGGTGATTTTCGGATCCTGATTCCAGCGCACAGGCGAAAAGAAACAAGGTATCAATTTTCCACGGCATTGTTGGGGTTCAGTAGGTGTATATGTTCCTATAATCCGGTAGGACGATTTACCCAATACTAATTAAATACTACCAAATACCAACCTTATTATTGTGAAAAACTAACGTAATAGTTCAATTATGTATATAACAAGCGGTGACCACTTCGGAGTAGTTATTAGTAATTATTTTATCAGTATTATAACAAATGCCCACCGTTTTAAAACAGTTAGGAAGTGGTGTATTTAAAAGACATTCAACATATCCGCCATATTGATTCTACGCGAACAAATAATGTCTTGAGATAATAACTTGAGATTTTAATTGAGAATTTGATGTTTTACCGCAACAATAAAGTCACTTACTTTAATATAATAGTAAATCTTAGGTTATAGTAAATTTGTACTTATAGCTTGTCGTAATGTTGAATTATCTTTGCTTGCTAAGCCTGGGTGAGCAGAGAGCTGTGTGAATACGTCCGTTCAGTTCGAAGGTGATGAGAACAATGAACTGACATTGGATTATTGGATTATATACATGCTTTTACATAGCTTGTAACATGAATAGGAAATACTCCTTTGTTCTTTTCGTTGAATAAGCAGATTGCAGATTGTTTTCCCTCTAGTAGATTGGGTGGAGATTACCGTGCAATAACTAGACATGTTCAATGTTATTGCACACTTTTGCTGGTTTACAATAGTTTTAGTAGAAATCATATAGAGAAGTGGGGTGGGTTTTCTGTACAATAACAATATGCATGTTGAGCAGTTGTCAATGTTACAAGTCATTTATAGAACGCTTCATTCGTTAACAGGTTTAACCAGAGGCCGAAACCGGTTAACTCATGAAAGCCGTGCTATAAATATAACATGATTAATTCTACTAAGTTTATTATTTACGAAATGAGCAGATAAGGATTGAAGTCGAAGGTATTCATTGCAATGATTGACTGTTTGATGGGTTTCTTAATCGACGAATAATAACTAACTCTTTGTAATCGGCCGAAAGTAGATTGCGACTTAAATTTACTCTACATCTAACATCGGCTGTATGACGGTAAGTGATATTATATACCTACGTCTCTACAATTGCGACGCGGCACCGGTTTACTTATTAGGAAAACTTGCCGCTTTTAAAAATAAGTTATCAAAATTGCGTCGTTCGAAACGTGTGTAGAATTTTCAGTGCAAAGTTGTCCTTGTTTGAAGAAAATCGGATAAACTTGAAAAAGAAAAACAGCTTCAGACTTTGAAATATTTGTATGATAAAAACATTCTTCAAAGGCGTCGTCATGGGCAACGACGTTTGTAATCCGGGAACATGAAAGTAGTTCCAATGGCGGACTTCGTCATACAGCCGAGGCTAGATGTAGGGTACTGGAAGGTTTGCCGAGTGAAAAACAATTTTGGTATAAGAATTACGTCATAAATTAATCGGCTGCATAAAGTTATATAGATCAATGACCAAATGCTTTTTACCGCCGACAAGGAATCATTAAGCATTTGGTCGGCGGTAACAAGTATTTGGTCGGCGGTAATTATATTACGATCGAAAGTCATTACAATGCGGTCGGCGGTAAAAAGTATTTGGTCGGCGGTAAAAGTATTGGTCGGCGGTAGTCGGCGGTAAAAAGTACCACCCCGATACACATATAAAATGTGCCACAAGCTAAAAAAAAAACAAAACGAAAGCACATGCTAACAGACGGAATACTTGTGAGAGCGCCTGATCTTAAAGTAACATGTGTTTGTGTTGTTTACTAATTGGTAAATAAATAAAATGGTTTCAGGGTAGAAATATAGCAGTATCAGAAAATGCAGTAGCCAAAATAAGCTGATACGGCACCATATAGCATTCCTTTATAACACAATCTGTAGTCTTTTGTCTATCACGTAACTAGTGACGTAACTTGCAAAAGTTTTTATACGCCCACATTTTCATGTGGACGTATAATATTGTCTTCGCCCCCTGTCCGTCCGTCCGTCCACAATTGTTTGTGAACAGTCTACAGGTCACAATTTTTATCCGATTTCAATGAAACTTGAAATATAGGTTTATCACCCTAAGATCTCGGTTCCTTTCGATATTGGCATGTATCGGACTGTAACTTCATGGGTTATGGCCCCTGATTGTACGAAAAATCACGTTTTTAGCTTGTGAACACTGTAGAGGTCACAATTTTAATCCGATTTTGTTGAAGCTTGAAATGTAAGTTTATAACCCAAAGATCTCGGTTCCTTTCGATATTCGCGCATATCGGACCGTAACTTTCAGAATTATGGCCCCTGATTGTACGAAAAATCGCGTTTTTAGCTTGTGGACCCTATAGAGGTCATAATTTTTATCTGATTTAAAAAACCGTATTATTATATCACCGTTACACCCTAAGGATGGCGGAGTGCGAATTTCGTGTAAATCGGCCCAAAATTGACAGACAAAATGGCCGCCGTTCGTTCTCAAATAGCGTAAAAAATATGGTATATCAAGGTTGTGGACCCTATAGAGGTCACAATTTTTATCCGATTTTGTTGAAACTTGAAATTTAAGTTTATAACCCAAAGATCTCAGTTCCTTTAGATTTTCGCGCATATCGGACCGTAACTTCCTGAATTATGGCCCCTGATTGTACGAAAAATCGCGTTGTTAGCTTGTGGACCCTATAGAGGTCATAATTTTTATCTGATTTAAAAAACCGTATTATTATATCACCGTTACACCCTAAGGATGGCTGAGTTCGAATTTCGTGTTAATCGGCCCAAAATTTACAGACAAAATGGCCGCTGTTCGTTCTCAAATAGCGTAAAAGTATGGTATATCAAGGTTGTGGACCCTATAGAGGTCACAATTTTTATCCGATTTTGTTGAAACTTGAAATATAAGTTTATAACACAAAGATCTCGGTTCCTTTCGATATTTGCGCATATCGAATTGTAATTTCCTGAATTATGGCCCTGGATTGTAGGAAAAATCACTTTCTTTTTAGCTTGTTCTCTATCCATCTCTCGAAAAAGTGGGCGTATCCTGCCTGGCAGCCGCTGGTTATACATCCTACCGCCTAATTTATTGAATAAATATCACGATACAGTGTGAAATATAAAATGTTGATCGGTTTTTCTAATATAAAACGTATCGTTCATCGTTTTTATGGTAAAAGAAAAATGCAGTACACCAGTGAATCGATTTACCCAATACGTTTAAGGCGAGCTTTCCATGGTAAAACTAGGGCTGCCATAATTATTCACATAATGAATGCTAATGTAAGGCTCGCTTTAACTGGATATAAATCTAAAATCAGCCAATAGAATACGATGTTACTTGACAACCTAATATGTCGCCAGATCTTGATGGAGAATATCGGCGGGAATGATAGAATGACACGTCTAATAATAACATTACATTGTTTAAAATGTTTTCACGTACCGCTTGTCCCACTGGCATTGCGTTGATTATCGCTATCAATATTTTTGCAGATGGTCAGAACTATCAAGTATGTGACATTTTTAAATTGGAATTACTGGAGGGCAAATAATCATGGTGGGGGACAAATTGGGTTTGCAAAATTGCGTTGGTCTTTAGTGCAATTTGTGCGCTAATCACGCTGACAAAGTGATCAAACTGACGTAAATTCGAGGAACATATAAACAACATTTTTTAATTGGCGGGAGTTTTTTTTACCGTTCCCGCAGCATTTCGTAAACGTGAAGGACTGAATCGTCCTGACCTGATAAGATTTTTGATGCTTTATCATTCACAAGACTAAGCACGACAATAACTCAAGAAGTAATTATTGAAATGGAAATAGATAAATAAGATAATCTTATTTGCTTCATTAACACAAAATGGACAAGGACAATAACTCAAGAAATAATTACCAGAAATTGTTAAAATAGAATTAGGTTTCTTTGTCTCAGTAATTATGTCAACAAAACACATGTAGCATAGTCTCCATATTCACAAATCGTGGACCACGGAAAGATTGTTGGGGAAGAAGGACGAATGCAATATACCACTATGTTACAAAAATCAGCAAAAATTAATGGTTTCTAATTTAGTTTACTAGAATTCTCAACTTGATTCAGTATAATAAACAGATTTTTTTTAATGTTCACTCTTTGTCTATGTATACATGAACAGCTAATAAACATAACTCTTTTATATCATTTGTAGCAACCATGTAGTTCAGTCCTGATCATTTAACCGTGTATATAAATAATTGTTTTAAAATGTATTTTCTAATTTTTCATCTCCAGTTCTGGAGGTACAATTGGGGGTTTAGGTGGATCTCGAAATTCTCCAAGATTTTCGTCATAGTAGGCATTAACTCTAAATGGTTTAAGGTCAAAGATAACCCTGTCTTCTATTCTTGTTAGTTGAACGCCCAAATCTTCAAGTGTAAGACAATCTGTTAAGACATCTGTGACATGATCTTTATCTAGCTTGTCCAAGTTGAATATTGGGTTGTTAGGAGCCATACCCATTATACGGGCTTTAAGCTGAAATAATGGTGTAATAGGATAGCGGGGTACATTTCTAAATCTCAGAGCTCTGTAGAAAAAATCTACTAAATCCGCTAGATAGTATCGATATGGTCCAACTGCCTCTATTGTTTTAGAGATTACATCAGGGTCATTAATGGCTTGTAAAACACCTTCAGCTACATCTGCAACAAATACAGGCTGCTTAATGGTAGCATCTCCTTTCTTCCATAGAGGTATTACACCGTGGGCCCTTCTCCAGTAATTTGTATAAGTTATAGTGAACCGATCTTCAGGACCAAACATGTCTGCCGGTCTAAATATGACAGCCTCTGGGAACTCTTCTCTCACTGCTAGCTCTCCTTCATATTTACTTCTAAGAAAATGAGATCCACCTTTAACAAAGATTTGTTGAGGATTTGGACTGGCATTCAGTGAAGAAAAGTGAATCAGCTTTTTCACACCCATTTCTTTAGCGATACGAGCAACACGTCTGGCACCTTCAGTATGTACATCGTAGAACGAGAAGTTTCGAGTTTCCCAATCTCGTCCTATTAAATTGATGACAACATTGGAATACTTCATGGCTCTTCGTAACGAGTCATCATCTCTTAGATGGAAATTGCTGAACAAAATTTGACCAAGATCTCCACAAAGCCTAAATCTGTCGACAGATGAAGTATCACCACGGTATGGGATGACCACTTGTGATCCTACTTTACCCAGTCTATTGACAACATAACCTCCTAAAGATCCAGATGCACCTAATACAGTAGCAACTGTTCCACTGAATGAAGATCTACCCCCACGACCCCTCCTATAAGTTGCTAAATTTGTGCTTGCATCTCTTTTCTGCAGACCAATTGTTCCAGTAATTACAGGAAGTTGTGAATTGAGCCGATGTCCTATCTGTAAGGCTTTGTTACTAACAACAATGGCTGCCATTTTGGCTGATTTTTACCTGCATTTACCACTAGAGCCAAATTAAACAAGCCAGTCCTGGAAAAAAAAGAAAGAGAGAATGAGTTGCTGTCCCCAAAAAATACTCTATATTTAGATGGAATTTCTGCAAGTTACATTCAATTTAATGAAGAATGATAAGGGGGTAATCTTTCTTGCCAGTAACAGTGTAACATGAAGTTTATATAAATGTCCAGAATCGTCAGACTCAAAGGTTAATCGTTTGGAATTGGTCAAGATATTACTACAGCTAACACTGGTTGTGGTAACTGTTAGTTTAGTTTACAACTGGAAAGCCCTGTTTTAGTCAATTCATATTCTATACCATCAAATTTTATGAGTTTATTTTGCGAACTTTTCTTTGGATTCCATCTCTATCCTAGGCATTATTTTTTGATCTAACAGTAACACACCCATGACTTTTTTTACAATTTGCATGCCAAAACATGTGAATAATACCATCTATTATCATGGCATTGAATCTCCACGAAAGTAAATAATTAAAGATACATTTGCGTACAATCAGGGACCATAATTCAGGAAGCTATGGTACGATATGCGCAAATATCTAAAGGAACTGAGATTTGTGGGTAAAAAACATGCATTTCAAGTTTCATCAAAATCAGATGAAAATTGTAACCTCCAGAGGGTCCACAACCCTGATACACAATATTTTGACACTATTTGCGAATGAGTGGCGGCCATTTTGTCCTTCAGTTTTGGTCCGATTTTTACAAAATTCGAACTCAACTATCCTTAGGGTGTACCAGTGATATAATAATACGTTTTTTTAAATCAGATAAAAATTATGACCTCTATACGGTCCATAAGCTAAAAACGTGATTTTTCGTACATTCAGGGGCCATAATTCAGGAAGTTACGATCCGATATGCACAAATATCGAAAGGAACCGAGATCTATGGGTTATAAAGTTACATTTCAAGTTTCAACAATATCGGATAAAAATTGTTAGGGTGTAACGGTTTTTTAAATCGGATAAAAATTGTTACCTCCATGGGGTCCACAAGCTAAGGCTGACCTTAAAAATATCTCTGTTTCACCTAACGCGGCCGACTAATTAAAACCACCCCCGACTTAAATTAGTTTATTGCACTTTTCCGCGATCTTTTTATTTTATTTTTTGTGTCAACCTGAAAGATATCACGAGAGTTATTTCCCTTTACTATGGCTATGGTTTGATTCATTATTGAAACTGGTTGATCAAGACGGAAGCGTCATAGGTGTCGCTTCTCAACAAAATGGTTGCAGACGAAAGCATGTCCATTCCCACGAACTGATTCTGCCGCACGATCGTTAAAAACGTGTTGAAGGAGATTCACACTTCAAGTTCGTGGCAGATCGTGTGCGAGTCGTGCATCACGAAAAATCCCGATGTCATTGATTTGTTTGCCAATAAAAAAGACGAATGTTTCCACCCGGAAAATTATCAAGCTGTCAAATTAGCTCTTAAGTTTAAAAAAAACTTTAAGTTCGTTACTCTTTACGTCAGACCCAAAATTCATTAAACAAAATTAATGAATTTGTAGTATACAGCTAATAAGTTTTCTGTATTGATTTCTCTGACTTTAAAGGAGCTAAATCGCTAACATTTGGGACCTAGAAATTCACAAAAGTGGGTCGCAACGCATATAATACTGTAATATGAATGTATATAAACTGATTTACATTTAATGGTTTCCGTTTTTACTCCAATTTCAAATCAGTTATGTTCGGCGAAATAAGTCAGCAATCTCAATTGAGTGCAAATTTCTAGCGTCTAGTTATTCTAGTCTACATAACTCCATTTGATTTGGTGCAATGTGTCTAGCCTCGTCCCTCGAGTCTCTCAATACAACTGGGGCTGAAGCGCATTATGGTACACGATTCGTGTACCAATGTTAAAAAAATTATTTTATCTTAAATATCGGATATCAGAAGCTCATCTTTTCCCCGGTAAGTTTACATCATCAATGTTGATTTAAATTGACCAATAATTTGTGTTTTCGATGTCGAAGATTTTGGAGGATTCTGAAAAAAAAAACGACCTACCGACCCTTCTCCTAGATTGTGGGTCGGGTTTGGTGGAACAAAGATATTTTTAAGGTCAGCCTAAAAACGCGATTTCCGTACAATCAGGGGCCATAATTCAGGAAGTTACGGTCCGATATGTGCGAATATCGAAAGGAACCGAGATCTGTGGGTTATAAACATACATTTCAAGTTTAAACCAAATCGGATAAAAATTGTGACCTCTACAGTGTTCACAAGCTAAAAACATGATTTTTCGTACAATCAAGGGCCATAATCCATGAAGTTACAGTCCAATTCATGCCAATATCGGAAGGAACCGAGATCTTAGTGTGATAAACCTATATTTCAAGTTTCACAAACCTGTAGAGTGTTCACAAACAATTGTGGACGGACGGATTAACGGACAGGGGGGACGACAATATATGTCCACATGAAAATGTGGGTGTATAAAAACTAGATAATGTTAAGGCAATTTGCTGAAAATTTCATTCAAATTGATCAACTATGAACCGAGAACTAAGCGGTTGAAATTTCTGGCTAGCCTTGATCATCATTACTAAATTCAGTACGATAAACAGCATAGTCTCACTCAATTGAGATTGCTGACTTAAATCGGCTCATAATCCCCGAAAGAATGCGGGCTAGCGATGCCATTTCTACTCTAGAGACGTAGAGTTGATTATGGTCTGGATAGATGTAGGTTAAATGTCTAATTAATAATTTAGATAACATTTCAGGCCTAAGGAAAGACCTTCAATAGACAGATTTAGTCCTTGCATAATGTATGTTTAAGCTTTCGGACAATATACAGTGTATACTATTAATATACCTTGTCCATATGCAAGAGCTGTCAATTTTGTCGTTTCGAAAACATTTAGAAACGACCTGCACCCGTGGCGTAATACAACGGGGCCTTATTTTGTCTGCGTCTCCTTTCAAACATAAAAATTGCCATCATAAAAGCTACGGGAAGAAATTTCGGATTGACCAGAAAAAGTTAGACTACTAGAAACTAATCTATTTTAATTTCTATGGCTTGAACTTGACCAAAGTCAAAATGATGAACACAAAACGAAATAAAAGTTACCACTCTAAATCTACTTTGACAAGCCCCTAAACTTCACTGTCGATGTCTCTGAGACCCTCCAGCCCTGTTTTCAAGTGCACAATCGTGTGAATTCCATTTATTTTTTTGCAATGCAATTCATTTGTAAGATCAGCATGTACCCAACTTTGAGATAATAAAATAATTAGGCCTACCAGTACAAGAAATTTATTTCCTTCGACAATGTCGACAGGAAGCGGAAAAATCCTTTATACGCGCATGTCAATAGCCATAAAAATAACACTCGGCAATACCGGAGTTTTTATGTACATTCGGTAAAATTTGTTTCACGAAATAATGGGGTTTAATAACCTCTAATTCTACTCCGACTGGGCTAATTAAGACGGGCATACGCCATACAGTGTGCCATGAGGTAAATTTTGCCCGGACAGCGGCGCTATGGCCTACTCTTATATCGAATACCAACTGCCAGGGGATCTTTTACGTGCACGCCAATGTGTACACGGGACCTCGGTTTTTTGTCCCATCCGAACGACTAGACAGCTGTCCTTGTCAGGCCCTCCATCCTGCGTCACTGACAAGGGGAAACCACGCCGGAAAATCTGGATGAACTTTCTCGGCCAATGCAGGGATCGAACACCCGACCTCCAGGCTAGCGAGCCAGCGTCTTACCCACTTAACCACGTGATCCCCCTATATAATTGGACCACATTCAAGACGCGATATCACCTCGGTGGAAGCGGACGTTAAATAAAGCTATTTCACACAAGATGCTGAACTCACGAGATGAAATAGAAGAAAAACATGTTTGAGGCCGTATTATGTCGATCGTCGCCTCTGACCGCCCGTCCGTTCACATTTGCTTGCGGATCTTCCTCTATATGTCACAATTTTTATCCAATTTTGACGAAACTTAAAATACAATTATCTTAATATACCAAAGATCTCGAATGAGTTCCTTTTTGGTAAAAATCGGACCGTAACATCGTAGATTTTGGTGCCTGGTTGTAAAACTTCGTGGATTCTGGTACCTGATTGTAGAGCTTCGTGGATTATAGTACCTAAGAAAAACCGCGTTTTTACCTTGTGGAGCCTCTATTGGCCACATGTTTAAGTTGAACGCCGGGGAGACATTCCTCACGGGGTCAATCACTTTGAATTGCACATGACGTCAGAATTTTTGGACCAAACCCATGTGACAAAGTGATCTATACCCGAAGTTGACGTTTAAACTCTCTATAACTTCTGTTAAGGCACGATCTTATTAAACATCTAGTTTATTCAATATGTTCTTTACAAGCTACACGTGATCCGTGTATAACACTAGACATAACTTCAAAGAGAATGTATTAGTGGTCAGTGCATCATACCTTGACCTGACGATGACTTCCAAAGAAATATGCAGTGTACATGTAATTACAAACACCATAATTTGATAATAAACAATACCATATATGATTATCACTCCTGTCCATCTCCCCTAATTGTTAGACGCTATATAAGCAGGTGTTTACTGACAGCAAGTCAGACTTGGAATAGGATAAGGATGATAAGGATGACATCGATGCTACTTAAAGTTACAATTTCATATTTTCTAAGAAAGTCAAAACATAATTATTTTATGTCTTTTGCTCAATAGGTTGTCAACTCACTATTATACGATCTTTCTCACACTTAAAAATCTTCACACCGGAAATAATAACACAATTACCTCCGAATTACCTCCCTTGTTTTCTATTCCCCACCATGGAATAGCTATCTTCAAACGTTTGAAGTTGAAAATGATATTTTTGCCAATTTCTCAACTGGCAATAGTGAATTATAGAATTAATTGGATTATTCTTTAACAAGGTAGGACTGTACCATCTATTTAGGGCTTTATTTTAATACATTTTAAAAAATATAATTTAAAAATATGAAATTATAACATTAATGAGCCAGAAATATTAACTTTTTTCCTGCGACAAATTAAATTCTATAACATTTTTTTTTATGTATTGGAAAAATAAATAAAGGCGTTTGACGAATTTGTAGGTAAAAATTATTTCCTGTTCAGTGTAAATGGGTATTAAAATGACTAAAAGGCAGCATTCCGCCCAAAGCAGTTGTCTCTTATGTAAACAATGCACGCGCCATTCAGCCAATGATTGACGCCGCGTGCTGTGACGGCACGTGTTAAGGCAGTCATCTTTGACAGAGATATTACTCTAGACTCGTAATTCTCTGTGACACAGATTGGGTAAGACACTGGCTCGCTAGCCTGGGGGTCGGGTGTTCGATCCCTGAATTGGCCGAGAAAGTTCATCAAGATTTTCCGGCGTGGTTTCCCCTTGTCAGTGATGCAGCACGAAGGGCCTGACAAGGACAGCTGTCTAGTCGTTCTGATGGAACGAAAAACCGAGGTCCCGTGTACACATTGGCGTGCACGTAAAAGATCCCTTGGCAGTTGGAATTCGATATAAGAGTCGTCCGGATGGGACGAAAAACCGAGGCCCCGTGTACACATTGGCGTGCACGTAAAAGATCCCTTGGCAGTTGGAATTCGATATAAGAGTAGGTCGTAACGCCTCTCATAGCACACTGTATGGCGTATGCCCGTCTTCATTAGCCAAGGTTAGGAGCAGAACAGTAGGACGTTAAACCCCATTTCATTTCATTTCATTTCCCTTGTGCAAAATTTCACATGTTTCAAAGACTGTTGAAATATATCTGTGTTATACACTATAATCAAGGTTGATTTCGAATTTCAGGAAAAGCAGACAGAAACTTCCCGTCATCCGTTACAAATATAGTGGCAATGTTTTGTGTTTTAAATCAGATTGAGTTTTTAATGAATTTATTTTAAATTTTGAAGAGGGGGGAGGGTGCAACTTCACGTTGAGAATAAACCCACGGCAGAGTGAAATTTGTATATTGCATATCCATGTGTCCTAACCAATCTGATTAAAATAGAGATCTATATTTCGTTTCGTTTTTTTATACTTTCGATGGCCTACACTACATGAAGATCTGACCAGTTGTATACTGGAAGGTCCGGACTAGGGTCGTACGTGCGGCTTTTGACCCATTGACGCCAGGCATTGATTAATCAATCAGCGTTGACGTTTCTAGTGATTTACCCAAAGTTCCGTGTACCTGAGGCCAAACACTCGCCGTAACAGACCGTTTCATTGGCTAATCGTTCACTTCAACCAAAACGCCGGTAATTTCCAGATCCTGGTGTTGCGAAGACGAGTAAAACTAAATTTTTAATTATAAAAAACAAAACGAAATTGGATCTGTGTTTTAATCAGATTGGTGTCCTAACTGGTCCAGCTGCAGATCTCGTCACGGTCGTGAAATATAAATAGGGTTAGCGCACCTGATTGTTGGCGAGACTGTGGGTTAGGGATAGGGCTAGCGCTAGCCCTGTTTACATCTCATGACCTTTGACCAAATCTGCAGTTGGCCTTAATATTTAGACATAACCAAGACAAATAGTATATAAAAGCACAATTTCACTTCTTTCTAAGCTTGCCACGCTGATTTTGTTTTATAGGTTTAAAGGGCTCACCGAGCCGAGCAATGTGAACAGTTTTCTCAAAATAATAGTTAGCCTACATTTAAATCTTGCAAATGATTGGCCCCCGGCCCATGCCTTTTCCCAAACCCCAAACAAAAACCAAACCCTTCTGTTCTGACACTTCAGAATAGTTGTAGACCGGAGGATCGGTGTGAGCAGTGGCGGCGCCAGCCGTCAGTGATTAGAGGGGCAAAGCTGGGGCAAAGTCCAAGGTTAAGGGATCAAAGGCACGAGCTTTAACTAGGGGTAGGGGGGCTCCCCCAGAAAATTTTGAAAAACAGGTTGCCGGAAATGCAGCCTGGCAGTATTTCAGGCACTGGTCGATGAGGTAAAGTGTCAAACGAACGGACTTGCGAATCACGACGAAGCCCACTAGTTTATCCGACTAGAGAACAAAATGTCAGACGAACGGACTTGCGAACCTCAACGAATTCCCCTTGTGAGCGCCAAAGTAGCGAGTCCATTGGGGACCTCGCCAAGAAAATTTTGAAAAATAGACTGTCGGAAATGCTCTACAACATGCAAGTTTATGGCTGAGTGGGGATGTGGGATTTATTCATTGTAGAAGGTATTGATTACCGAAACGTATCACAAATACTTTTTTTATTTTCTAAAATTGTTGGGGGGGGGGCAAACAGAGGGCAGACCAGATTAATGGGGGGGGGGGTCAAACGTCCCCCCTTGCCCCCCCCCCCCCCTTGCCCCACTGGGTGTGAGGGGGAGGGGGTCCATCAAATGGTCACAAAACAAGTCCAAACTTTTCTATAGTAAAATTTTGCGTAGAATACGATGCCGAATGGTAATCAGTCCGCCGTTGGGGCGTTTTCGAGATATTCGGGGTCAATGGTCAAATGAGGTCATTTGCATGGGCGTGGATTTTGATCGTCAGGACAGATTTTCAGGTTTATATCCACATGATGGCGAGCTTGTTTCTACGTATCTGGAACTGAATCGGAACTTGGAACAAGACTTGCCATTCTTCAAGCGCCAGTTTTCGGCCAAATCTATTTCACTTGTGCACGAAACGTTCCTCATGTCACCTTTAGTGAGGCAGACATTCCCTTCTGTCGAAGCTCTTCTCATCTCACACTGCTGAACCCTGCTAGTTCCTGCTCAGCCGAACGGTCCTTCGGCACTCTGCGCCGTATCAAAACTTGGCTCCGCTACTCCATGACGCAAAACCGACTGAGCCACTTGATGGCGTGTGGGGTGCATAATGACCCCCTTCATGTCGCCAAGATATTCAAAGAGAACAGTACTGATCGTAGAACGAACGTCTTTGGACGATTCACTTAACTTCATGAACAATTAATATTTATGCAGCTTTGATGTAGATAGTCAATTTGTCCATATTGTCATCATATTACCCCTAGTTACAGCCTTCATCGAAATAACGCTGGTACAGTAAAGTGTTCGTAATTATTTATTTCATTTGGTAATGAAATGTTCCAGATTCCAGGGTTCGCCCCCCCCCCCCCAAAAAAAAAAAAGTTATGACAAATCCACGCCCTTGGTCATTTGCACAGAAAGTGAATGCGCAGCCATTCTTGTGTTATGAAAATATGCTGAAAATGATCGAAAGTAATCACTCTTTCAATAAAAATGTAAACTTGCTAAATTCCCCTTTGTTCTTAGTGACCCCTAGGTTAAATAACTTGAATGTACAGGAAAAATTTTCCCCTTTACCTTAAATCTACTCCAAATGTATTATCCTAAAAAAGCTCCCCCCCCCCCACCTATATTTCTTATTACATGTATTTGTACACGTATTCTGTATAACTGTATAAATAAATAATAGCCTTATTCTAAGTACTAGATGTTTAAGTGTCCTACCTGTTGTGTAAATTATCCATTACATCCTATTTTACTTGTCCAGAGGGTTCGAAAATATTTACGCTTTTAAGTTTTTAAATTAGGTGTGTTAAGATGAAATTTGTATCACCAATTAATTGGAATATTGTAAAATAGTACAATTTGTTGACCAGAAAAAAGATTGGAACATATTATTCAGAAGAGTGGTATTGTATATATTTTACCTCTATTGAAAATTATTATGGTGTATTATATAATGCATCAGTCTATATCTTTGTAATATATTTTCTATGAAGGGCAGGATGTTAGAAAGGCTATTATAGCCTAATCTTCAACCCTTCTTAAATATTATTATTTTATTATTATTAAAAGGTAAAATTTTCCATATTTGCACTAGGAAGATTTAAAGCAATAAAATGTCAGCGTATATATAAAAACTAAAGCGAAACCTGTTCTAATTAAGAGTAGGAACATTTAAAACTTATCTTTAGGTGGTCTTAACGCCGTACATTTACTTTGAAACGTCGAAAAGGATCTTGCATAACAGAACCAAAACACTTCGAAACCTGTTTCAAAAATACGTAAAAACTGTCAAATCGAGATCTCTCCGATTTAGTTTCACAACGATTGTTATACATAATGAAACTAGTTGTTGTTAGTTAGTTGTATTTTACGTCCGCTTTCACCGAGGTGATATCGCAGACAAAAACTAGTTGTCCGAAAAACAATTAAATAGTTTCATGGTTTCCGACCTCGAAACATGTTTATATCTCAAAGATGTCGGTTGGTGCGCATGGGAGCGTTCGTTCGTTCTTGGTGTTTAACGTGCCTGGCACCTAAACACTAACCCCAAACGATGACATCTACCAATCCAGAAGCAGACGAGATCATCTACCAAACGATATGTTTTATATTAAATAAAGGGAAGAACTTCCCACTAAACCAAATCCATGGCCAAATGGAAAGATTGCAAAATCATATTCTAAAAAACAGGAATCAGCTTCGGCTCTCCTATGTCTTGTCTGCGATATCACTTATGTGGAAGCAGACGTTAGACACCAAGAACGAACGAACGCTCACATCATTCTCCTTGAAACTTGGTTCAAGATGCCTGTGCCAATTTGTCTGTTTTGTAAGAAGAGAGTATACAAGAACCACCTTGCCATTGATTGTGATGTGTGTGGAGGTTGGCAACACAGAAAATGTAATACAGCCAAAAATGTGAAGCATCTTCTCTGTGATTTAGCTCATTTGTATTGAAGCCGTCATTCACTAATTACACTATTATTTGTGACTAATTACACTATTTATTGTCATAGTTGTCTTATTATCAAAAATATGCAAACATATTTTAAATACTCGCGTCATTTAAGTAATGGTCCGAATGAGCTTTGTCGTGGTCCCAATCAGCCATAAATCTGGTCCCAGTCAGCCAAGAATCTGGTCCCAATCAGCCACAAATCTGGTCCCAGTCAGCCACAAATCTGGTCCCAGTCAGCCAGGTCCCAATCAGCCATGGTCCCAATCAGCCAATTACCTCCTAATTGCCAGGGCCGTCCTACATGGCCCACTCATAAGCACTTAAAAAAGTTTGTTATTTTTATGACAGAATTGCTGTAATGTAGGCTACTCCAGTCCAGTCTCTTTTCGATATAAAACATGGGAAATATTTTATTTATTCATAAAAGGTATTTACTTTTTTTTAAAAAATCTGATTGAATATTTAGTTTGTTTACACGGGGGCCCGCGAAGGATAACGTCATAAAGTCTCAGGCAACACTTTTGTTCGTTTAGATGCGTGCATATGTATAGGATTAGAGGTGTGTGAAGCCAAATCGCAGGCATTACTTCGCATGTTTGTTTGTTGGACGTTATTTTGATGAATGTTAAAAAGAAGGTTTAGTTCGCCAACCAAAACTTGTCGAGATTTTTTTTTCTTTCCTGATTTTATAAAACGCTTGTAAATCCAAACACGTTTCGCCCAGTTATCCTTCCGGTAGTATTTCGAATTTTTAAAAAAAACCGACCAAAACAGAAACTCCAACTCCAAGATCTAACGAAAAGCAATGCTGTTGTAGGCTGCACAGCATATGTAGGTAATCGGCTGTCAAGAGCGCTTTGGACACGGTCTCATTTGACCTATAACAAGACATCCCCGTGTTATAGGCCTATATTAAAACGATAAAATAAATTTTAAAAAAAATATAAATAAATGCGTTGTCTTTGTTTTGAAAAAAAAAGTATAATTACATTTTTACCACTCATGATCCCAAACTTTATTCGAATTTTTCGGTCTGATTAGTTTAAATCGGAGTACGAAATTATTCTTTTATAGTATACTAACAAGGTGTAGGGTCGCCTGTCCAACCTCATGGGTTTTCTCCAGGTCCTCCGGGTTCTCTTCACTGCTAAAGACCCCTACGCGAATTATTGTAATAAAATTGAACCATATTTTAGTCCCGAAATGAGTCAATGACACTGACAGTTCAGTGACAGTTGGACGTTAAACCCCATGTCTCTCAGCTATGCTACAGTACTACACTAGTACTAGAACTACTTATGAAAACACTTTTCACGTTGAGACAATAATTTACTGTTTTCGATAAGTATGTATGATGGTTTATTAAAAAAAAAATATACTGTGATCATAACTGGCACAAATTCTAATTGTTTATGCACTAGATCGTGCTACAATTACATTTATTTGGGAATCGGGGAATTATGTCGTCGTGCGCAAGGAGCATTTATTATAATTTATCTGGATAAATCTCAAACAGTAATGTTGACAAATGTAAAAATTAAGCAGTACTGTGTCAGTCATTTGTGTAATTCCTTAATATTTTTCAGTTATTTTATCTTTCATTGTTAGGTTTTCAGAGAAAATATTTTAAGGACATATTTTGTAAACAAGCTATTACACAATGAACACCCTTGTAATGTATCACGTGATTCTCCATAGAAAAGCCGCCATATTTTATTACATTTATGAGTATTTACTAATACAGTGACATTTGTCACTTCATAAGCTATTAACTACATATAAGTGCACCAAGGAAAACACATATATATTGTGTGTCATCAGTATTGTATACCCGCAAATTGGTTTTCATTTTGCTCTACAACGAACAAGTGGTTGCAAGTGGCTAGAGGGAGGCAAAGTGATTTACATCAGAAACTCATCATCTCGACACCGCTAAAGCGGGTCTTCGGCACATAATACAACATGCCAGTAAGAAAAGCAGGTAAATATCGCACGGCCCTTTACGTAACCCTAATTTATAAATGAGAACATATAGATCTATATATCTTTTATTTTTGAATAATCTTAACACAAACAATAGCCTAGTGTTTCACACAAGCTACGCAGTTTGAAACCCTAATAATAATCTATTAGTATTAGGCCTATAATAATCTTAACAAAAACAATACTCAATATAGTGTTTCACACAAGCTACATTACGCAGTGTGAAACCCTAATGAATTTTACCATTTTGCATATAAACAATATTATATGTACAAACATGAGGATGGCTACAATAGACTTTCTTGTATAACTTTTAATAGTCATAATACATTATTATTATTATTATGCCAGTTTATATTTAGCCGTCCGACAGTTCTTTACTTTAATTCCTATTTAGCCGTCACTTCTGTTTGACATGCGCAGTTGTCTGATTTCTGGGCCCTGTTTCACGAAATTTTAACTAAAGATAAAATCCAAATTTTAGTAGATACTCCAATTTTGATTGGCTAAGCACTAAAATCAATCTAATATTATCCAACCAAATTACTAAAATTTGGATTTTATCTTAGTTAAAATTTCATGAAACAGGCCTTAGCAATTTTTGCTTTGGCTATGCTGTTGGCTCTTTCAACTTGGGGGTTATTTTACTGTCTGATATTAACCCATAGTCTAACCCTAACCCAAAACCACCAGTCTGTTCTATTCGTCCTTTGTCTGACATTGCTTCTTTCTCCGTTTCTTATATGGAAGCAAATAGCCATACTTAATTTCTGATGGTAGAAATTGGAGAATTATTTTTAAAAGAAAATAAGATAATAAATGTAAATTGTAGAAAAGCATTTAGAATATTATTCTATTTTGGTCGAGAGCGCATTTCTGCGGATTTTGGTTTTTAATTTAAGTACTTAGACTGTCAGTGGTTTATGTTTTCCCTGTAAAATCGTGCTTCTGCTCCAAACTTGAAAGACGAGTTGTTTTTAATATTCCAAAATGGTGGAATATACCAGGAATCGACAACTGCGCATGTCGAACGGAAGTGGCGGCTAAATAGTAAATAAAGTAAGGAACCGTCGGACGGCAAAATATACACTTCATATTATTATTATTATTAGGGGTTTCAGGTCAAAGTTTCAAATGACAGAAAAAAAAAATTAAAAATATTTTGTGAAAATATACGGTACATAAAATGCTACCCAAATTTGTTTATTTCATCAAAATATTCTAATTAGATCCAAAGTTATGGAATTTTAAAATCCGAGATCGACGTCAATAATGTAATCAAAATGCTCTATACCAGTCAATGCGTGGCATGGCACCAAAGTGAGTGCTTTTCAGTCATATTTGAGTGACGTCATAACCGGTATTTTCCCTTCAGAATCGCTAGTACCAATTTTAAAACTGAAATCCGCACGTTATTGTCAGCTAAAATTGATTAAAATCGTAATAATTTGAATGATAATATGTCAAATATTTATAATCTGGATGATACCTCAAGAAAGTTTTTTTATATTTAGTCGAAATTTAGCAATTTTCAGTCATCAAAACAGATAAATCCCATTTTCTCTGGGTCTAATTGTCCGACCACGTGGTATCAACAAGCATAATAATCACAAAAATGTTATCTATCGTTTGATTGGTTCTATATCAAAATCCCTCAGTAACTAAGGTGCGGATTCACCAATGAAGTGAGTCGTAGCAATGGAAATCTCAGGCCGCGTGACGTCAGAGCGGTATTTTCCCGCGAGCGTCTCCATAATTTTTTAGCCTGAATCTTTGCAGATATTGAGATTGATATTAAACTATTGCAATTCAATTGCTAGTAATGCATTTACATAAAATAGTAATTCAGAATCGTAGATTGAAGTGGGGTATATTTCAGCCTCTGGCTGTCCGATTTCACGCTAGAGTCAAGTGACCTGAAACCCCTATTATTATTATCATTCCGGTATGGTCAAGATCTGTTAAATACTTTTTACAAAGTATCACAGCGTAAGAATATAGTCCCATTTTGCCATGTTTTTTGACCACATGACTCACCAATTTGCGCATTGCGGAGGGGATTTTTAATTTAGATTACCTATATAAATCTGCGAATAATCGGAATCGAAAGCACGCCAGTTTACCCAATGACAGGCCTTATGATACAACGTGCAAGCATTAACCATTCGGCCATCCAACCCCCCTCATTCGAAACCAAGGCTACATTATTTTAAAAATAAACAACAATTTATGTACTATGAGAAAGTTTATTAATAATTGGCCTTAATAATTAGACGAACAAAAAATATCTATCGCAACATCTTAAGGTTTTGACTTTTAAACACCTAATCCTGTCTTTATTACGACCATGAAAATCACTATCGATACCCAGCACTAGTTTAAATTAATGTTACGCAAAATTATTTTATTAAAATTAAATTACTGATCTTTTTTTGTTGGAAATTGGCCTAATTTAAACAGCGAAATTTGCCAGTTGACGGCTTCTAATGGCATCCATGCGATAACTTTAGTTCTAGTGAGTGATGAAACTCAGTGTACTAAGTAGTGATAAGCAATTTGATTGGTCAAGTCTTTGGAACATAACAACTACATGTATGCTTTTAATTGAGGTATAGAGGTTCATTAGTGGAGTGTCTTGACTGAGTTCAACGATTGATATTTCACGCTAAAGCTAAGCAGAGCTAAGCAATTTGATTGGTCGATGCTTTGGGACATAATAACTTTGATTCTAACTGATGGAGAGTGATGAAACTTGGTGTATAGTTTCACTACCTGGTACTTCAAAACCTGACTTGAGTTTGATCGTGAACATTTTATGCTTAGACTAAGCGTAGATAATCAGTTTCATTGCTTAATACTTTTGAAAAAGATAAATGTGCAATTAATTAATATGTGTCATCTATTTATTTGGGGATTATGGTGGGGGACATCAGCCTCACTGTTGGTTTGTTAATATAATTATTTTATTTATGTATAAAATATCTTGATGGAAAATTATAAAGTTTGATTATAGCAGCGTTACATAACACCAACATGCATACATGTAGTTGATCATTTGCACAAATGAATGTTATTATATCTCTGGAGACCAGAGTGATGGCCCTAAGGCTATTATGAGTATTGTGTTACAAATGTAATATATACTATAACTAACAGTATAACCTGATGTGATGTTGCAGACTGTCAGGTACAGAGGCAGTTAGGTAAAACTATTAGAGGAGTAGGCTCAGATATACATGACATGTACATAGCTGCTGTGGCTCAGGGAGTAAGGGATTTGCTCTCTATCCAAGATGTTCCGGATTCCATCCCGGTGTTGGCCATGAAAGCTCTGTATGGAACAGAGCCTTGACAGTTGGAATTTGAAAGAGTAGGCCTTAGTCCCCCAGTCGGGGGGGAAATTTTCTGCATGGTACATTGCATGGAGTATGCCTGTCTTCATTAGCCAGGATGGAGCAGAAAAGTAGGACAACAAACCCCATTTCATTCCACATGACATTTATGTTGAAAATCGGATCAAGATTTGTGATCCGAATACTTTTGTTGGCTATCCGAATACTTTTCGGATAATTCGGAGACGTGAAATTCTTGAACACAATTACATCAAAAGTTCATATACCGTTACCGGTACTCATAATTTCTTACTTGTTTCAATGTTTATGAGTGTCTGTATGCCGAGTATGAAATCGTACTTTCGATTTGCAAATTGTTTGAGCCGCGAAGAAAAAAACGTGCCTACCTTTAGCCGTAATTATTAAGACTATCTATGACATCGGTCTGACATCCCAAAAAATCAATGAGGTGAAGGAATTTGTATAGTATAACTACATGTACTCCTGTTATCCGCACCCTCCCACTTATCATTTTGCTCAATCAACACGAATGAAAAAAGTAAAATAAAACCATGTGCCATTTATTCCGGCAAGGTCGTTTGCCTCATTCTGATAATCTACTACTATTGAACCAATCAGTGAGTGGTAATATATACGTGACCTAGGTCGTTATGAATAAATTTCATTGTGGGAAGTCAAAACACGGTCTAAACTCGTATGCTGTAAACTAGCGCAGGGAATGAATGAATATTTTTTTTTATTTAGACTACTGTTTTCATTGCACTGCATTAATAATTTTATTAGTTACTATCACTAAATAATACGCATAATGTTGACATTTATGCTCATGGAGCGGCGTACGTGATCAATTGCATTGGGGAAAATTTCAAAGTGATCAGACGTAAAAATGGCTAAATATAGAGCATACAGAATGTCAGAATATATTGTAACGAATAGTAAACAGATAGTAAAATGATTCGGATAACCCTTATTTTGTATCCGTTAACGAATATCTGAATAGTAGTTTCAACACTACATGACATGTACATTACTGTTACCAGCAAATAAAACAGAAAGACCCTCAAACTGTTATCCCATTCCCAGGTCCGAGCAAATATCTGCAGTCCTATAGTCTATGAAACATTTTTAAAGAAATACAAACGATGTGAAATTGTGAAATGGCAGTTACAGTGTACATTGCCAGTGGTTGAAAAGAGCAGGATTTTCAATATAATTGTTTATGAATTTTTATCAATATTCAGTCTTTAACATATATGTCTCAGAAATATTTTACCAACATGCGTTACAAACACTATCTTTAAATGTAATATTGTTCATATCACTAGTTTATGGCTTTGCCTTAATTAAGTTGGCAATCCTAATGAGTTTTTTGTCTGGTTGTTTGCTAATTTCATCAATAAAACTGATTTTTGTTATAATGTTAAAGAAACAAAAATTCTAAGACTGTCGGAATGCCATGTAAATGACATTTTGATTACAACAATGAAAAACCAACTGGAAATAATAGTTCGCTCAAGTTCTATATTGAAATAATGGTTTGTGTGGTTTATTTATTCATTTAGATTATAGCTTTTATTCCAAAATACAATTATTTGTTCTTTTGTGTTTGACAATGATATTTTTATTTTTAAAGCAAACAATTTTA